CGAGTGGTTGTCGTAATTTTATGACTCATTTATATAAACAAACGGTATTTATATATATATACATATATAGTTATATCATTTACGAGTGCGTGCTAATTGGATACGCGTTATGATACATCAAAATATTACAACTAGTATTTAGTTAAAAATGTTACATTTAAAATATGAAAAAAATGTCCATTTATCAAATAAAAAGTTGCTTAACCAACTTTCTCCATACAGACAATTAAAATCTTTCATTTCTAATGATTTTAATATATAAATTGGCGAATTAGATTCATTAATCTTACTTTGTTATTTATTAATTGTTTAACTCTATTTGTATGTTCCACTATCAATCTATAATTCAAATTTTTTGGTAACATGATACTGTATAAATCATTTCTAAAATAATGATTTTGGGTTTCACATAAATTTAAAAATGAATTTTACAATTATAATCAATTTTTATTATACGCTATATCGATTAGATTTTTTTAATAACTTTTCTTTGCGAAACTAAGAGATTATTGGTCTTGTGATACTGTGCGTTTTTTTTATGTCTTTCCATAAGAGTTCTCAGCTCTCACTTGACCAATTTTGATGATCAGTACGTAAAATGAACCGATTTTAATATAGTTGAACTAATAGTCATTAAATATTTGAAAAAACCCTTTAATGTTTAAAGTTTAGACAAATATAAATAAAATAAATAGATAATTTTATGAAGATTTAAAAAGTGGTTTTGTTTAAATTGGTATATGGTCAGAAACTTATTTAATTACTATTAACAGTAAATTTATGAAAAAGCCGAAAATTTTGTTAAAATCACTTATTGTATTTTATTTAATTATATAGTAATAATTTATAATTTAATAGTAATCATTTCAAAAGAAATATTAATACTACATATTTAATACTTCTAAATTAAAGATCCATTAATTAGGAATAATGAAAGAAATAGGAATTCACTTTTCTTTTAGTATAATTCATTAATTTCTTAAAATTGAACACTTATCTACCGATTTGTATGAAAGCGATTCTTATGATGATAATCATCATCTTTTAAAAGCAATGCCTTGTCGTTGAAGCCACTCTTATTTGTTTGACGCCAAATCAGTTAAACAAAAAGCGCACAGTTCATGAGTTCCTGGATATTTTCAAAATATTGTTTTCTTGAGCGTCCTTTGGGTTTTTTCTCAATTATTTTTCTTTCAGAGATGTTGATTATAATGTCATTTTTCCGGATGATGTTTCCAATTAACTTTATTTTTCTTGATTCAATCACCTTCATCAGCTGTCTGTCATCTTGTAATTCTTCTAACAATTGCTTATTTCTTTTCTTGTCTATCCATTTTGTCTTTGTTATTTTTCTCCATATCCATAACTCTAATGCTTCTAGTTGTGCTTCTGTCTGTCTTGTCAATTATCCATGTTTCACTATCATATGTAAGCACACTCCAGACAAATGTTTTAACAAATCTTTTACGCCTTCCAATGATCAGATTTTTATTGGTGAGAAGCTGATTCTTGTTTTGGAATACTTACTTTGCCAATACTATTCTTCTTCTGATGTCTGGAGTCGATTTGTTATATGAAGCTATGATACTTCCAAGGCTGCAGAATTATCGGACTTGTTGTAATCATGTATTAATTATTTGTATATTAAGGTTTAGATCCAAGTGCATTTTACTTATAAGCATTGTTTTGGTTTTCATGAATTTATTTTCATTTTAAATTTATCAAGTGCATTTGATAGAATTTTTGGGATATTATTAATGTAGTGTTCAGACTCTGCTAAGATAACAATATCATCCGCAAAGCAAATACACCGTATATGTTCACCATTTATTTTTACTCCATTGATCTTGGTTTTCATTATATCTATGCTCATTTCAATAAAAATATTAAATAGATAGAGCGACAAGGGGCATCCTTTTCATCCTCTACTTATTCTTGCTTCTTTTACCGATCCATTTACATTTAATTCTGTTGTTGATCTTTATATAAATTATAGATGAGCAGTCTACCTTTCCAATAAATTTCTTTTTCTCTTGATATCTTGAAAAAAATTTTCCAATTCAATTTATCGAAAACTTTCTCTAGATCTATGAATTTTGCTATAGTATTTCTATTCAGTGTAATTCTTCTCTCGAGGATCTGTCTCAGTGCTAACATCGCTTCTCTTGTTCTTCGCCATTTCCTAAATCCAAACTGATCTTCCGAAATATTTTAAACTATGTTCTCATTCAATCTGTTCTTAATAATGTTTAAAAGTATTGTTAAAGTTTTTTTTTTTGAACCCAACCAATTATTATGATATTGCTTTTAATCACTGTCAGATGTCCTTTACGCTTGTACCAATTATACCAAGACCTAACTGTGTTACCGCTATTTCTTGTCACCTAGGGGTAAGAAATGTCGGACTCCAACCAATTATAAATGTTTCTTGATTAAAAATAAATACACAAGAACAATAAGTGGATTTAATAAAAACAAAAACGATTAAATTGAATAAACATATACAATAATAAAAATAAAACTCATCATGAAATTAAAAAAGCTATATATTTATATATTTATTTTTGAGAATATATTAAAGAGAACAGATATAAAATGTTACACTAAAAATATTTCTACAATATACTTAAAAAATATTTTTTAAATATTTACTTATAAATGTTATGGCAATATATTAATGAGAATAAATATAGAATATTTAACTCAAAATATTTATGCAATATATTTTTAATATAATATTTAAATGTATTATTGGCCAACTTAAGAGAGGCAAGCCATCCTTTTGCTTCCCATTAGTTACAAACCTTAATAGTATTTAGTTGTATAATACTTATGTATTATATATATTTATTCCTAAATACTTAATAAATAAATAACAGTTTAATTAATATCAATTTTAATTAACCTAATTCAATTAAGATAGTCAAGTCAGGGACAATAAAAAACTCTTCAAATTTTTTTAGTCTTTTCGCGATTTTATCTCATTATTGTGCTGTAGAACTAAAAACCCTAAAAAGTTTTTTTTATTATAGTTAGAATTTTTAACTTAGTATCAAAAATTTCAAATAAAAAATATCACTTTTTTAAAAGATACAACTCCTTTTTTTCTATAATATAGTTTTATTTAGAATATTCTTTGAGTATGAGATGGATGTGTTTTCATCACTAATAATTATTAAATGGTTTGTTTATTTATTAAACTACCTGAATAAAAGTATAAAAAAATGAGAACGATCAAATCAATAGCTTATTATTAATAAAAGAAAGTAAATTATAGTGTACTGCAATTGTAATACTAAAGTATTATTTATATTATTATTGTTGTTGTTTTAAACTATGTCAAAAATAAGTATTGGTTTTACTACGATGTGTTATTTTTTTTTTTTTTTTTTGTCTTACCACTTTTTCCCAGAAATCACCAAACCATTTTCTTTCAATGATACGTCAAAAGATCACAAATCGTATCTAGTCGAAGACATAACCCTCAAAAATTGAAAAAATTTCCCTCGTTCCTCGTAAATTACAAATTTAAAAATCGCTAATTTTCATAATTTTTTACTTAAAACTGTCATAACCGTTTCAAAAATGACCAAATTAATATGACTTTTTATTTATAAATGCATATGTTTTTTTGCATGATGATCATTCATTTGATATATTTTTTGATAAATCTGACCCTTTACCTGCCCACAGAGGATGATTCAAAATGACATCTTTTTCACAAAAAAATTTAAAGATTTGCATTGAAGCGTTTTTTTTTATAGTAATTTTAATCACTGTCATATATCATTATATTTGACCTAATTTTGCCACGTCACCACTGAGTTGGGTTTTTTTTACATATTTTAACGGTTCGGTATTCAATTTGAAATAAAACTTTTTGAATTAACATATTATAGATATAGGCAAAAGGGATGTGTAGTTTAAGTGTTTTTTATCTCTGTGCTTTGGCAAAATAGAGCGTAACAAACGTTATTATTGTCTTCTTTGTGAGTAGGTAAGTGTTAAATTTAGGAAAATAAATGTATATAGAAAGAATCACTCTTAGGAATGATTTTTTTTTTAATGCTTGTGCTAGAGTGTTAAATTTTGAGGAAAGTGTTTGCAACTAATTACAATTTATGTATGTTTAGTTGTAGCAATGAACAAAAATTGTCTAACAGAAATAAGAGTGGTGTAAAACTGAAAAAAATTTCTTTAAGAATTTATAAAAACTTATCATAGTGAAATTAATACCAACTCAAGCTTTGCGTCGAAACTAAAAATTTAATTTAGGATATAATAACCCAACCTAATTTAGGTATTAATTTTAAGATCTCGATTTCATTAAATTTAAAAAGAATGTATTTATCAATAATTATTTTTAAATAATTAAAAAATTAAAACATATAATCTAACATTTAAAATAATGCTAATTATTATTACACACTTCGACTAGAATGTGCAAATAATATATTAACTTTTAATAAGTTTAATAGGCTATATTTAATATGAAAATATTTAATTAAAATTATGTTATTAAAACTTATTTTATCTAACCTCGTATTTACTATGTTTTAAGTATTTTAGTCTTACTTGTTCAAATGTTATCTGTTTTAATTTTCCAGAAGGAATTTTAATCAACAGACTAATTTTCAAACAATTAATTTCTTACGAAATATTTTTAAAATTTTATTATTATTTAATTAAAAAAACAATATACTGAACTATTGAAGCTGAAACGTACTTAAGTAAATAAATTATTAAACGTAAATAAATGTTCGTTATATATATATATACCTAGACATTCAAGAACTCTCAAAATCCGATTAGAAGGACCACTTTGAGTAAACTAAAGTGTGCGCTGAGAATAATCAAAACCGGTACGAGGCGGCCGCTTGTTGTCTGCGACGGTGGCGCTCTGCACGGCATGGCATTCACAGCGCAGTTGCGAGTTCTTATTTGCATTGCCCACAGCCGGTTCGTTTGTTCCATGAGCAAAGCGACTACGCGTGTGAGCGTAGGGACTGATAACCGGCGGTGTCGAGCGAGGAATGCGGTGTGTTAAGAATGCAACCGATTCAAGAAGATCAACAGGTGAATGCGCGTGCGTATGTCTATCGTCGTAAATCGTATTTCGTGGCCGCCACCGCTGCGGCAGTTCGTTCTCGTTGTACTCCGCTGCTGTTGGCGCGTACCGTCACGTAATCGTCACTATTTAAATATTTTAACGACACTCAACTAAAGTACGAATTTTGAGGGAAAAAAATCGATTATCGGGTACTATTTCACGTTAGTGTTTTGGAGGTTGCTCGAGCGTTTATTCAGTTCAGTGTTACCCTTACAGTTCTTAGTTGAACCTGTTCGCCAGTTTGTAATTTTTATATGAACCGAAGTGATCGACTTCAGTGATTGCGCGTGTGTGCCGATCATTTGTGATGTGCCTCCTCCTCAGGGAGTTTTCTTTGAAGTGGATGATCTCCGTCAACAGCGATTTATCTGCACATGCTATTTTGGATTACTCGAACTAAAACGAACGTCAGCCAATGATAGACACTTAATGGCCGTGATTCGAAGAGACGAAAGTGCTCCTTACTTTTGTTATTGGTACGTAAAGTATTTTTAAGTACACATAAAACAGATGACGTTAACCAGAAAGGTAAACGTTAGCTAGAATTTTTTCATCTTTTTTTTTTTTTTTGAGTGAAAGGGATTTGATACGATTTCATCTTTATCTTTGAGTAAACTGGTCAAAGTAATTGTCGTCAAAAGTGACATAAATAAGCCATAAGATAACTTTAAGTGATAATGTTTTGTGAGATTTGACGTAAAGAATTCGGCTTATCTAGAGCTTTTCAATTTTTTTTTTCGTAACACCAGTTAGTTTGAAAGTTAATGGGAACGCCAATATGAATGTTTGGGCGTCGTCAAATATAAGAAAAACGAAAACATTTGTATGCAAAAAATAAACCTAGCACATCCAATTATCTTTGATGGACCATATTCAAAAACTCTCACCGTACACTGTTACAATGAATGACATAGAGTACCATTGTAATGCCCTTAAACAAGATAATTTTCGGTCGTATATATTGCAAAACATCATATGACAGTTTTTATACTGAATCAGATGTTTACTTAGGGATGTTAGTAGAGTTACGGTACACTGTTAACTTACCGGTGATAATTTTTGTAAAAACAGTAAACCTTTTCAATGTCAAACAAACAATTAACAGGAAATATGGTTCGAATGTTTTGATATTCCCATCATGTAGACGCCGGTAATTACAATCAAATTTACATATTCAGAAACCATAAGTAGATACTGTATGTATTATTATATTGACATCTCAGGCTAAAAAATTTTAACCGTGTAAAATTGCATAGAAATTTCATATATTAGCTACAAATATAATACAAATTTTTACCATTGACTAAAAAAATCAACTTTAGTATAAAATTATATAAAGAAACCTCAGTGTGTTTCTCTGTAAAATTGAATGGCGATGTCATTGGTTAGTACCATTAGTTATTTTCACTTTTTTTGACACTGTTATATTATTGCTTTATTGAACTCTAACCCATAATGGGTTGGACAGAAGGGGTAGAATTCCTAACACGAAGGAATTCCAATTTTTATGAAATAATAAGGTTAGGTAATGTTTACAAACAGCATAATATTTTTTTAATTCCATTGTTTGCAAACGGTGTGTTCATTAATAACAATGCCATTTTGTTAACTATTGTTCCTAAAATAAAATACTATCTATGTCATAATTATTTTCATTAATATCGTATAATTTTTCACGGCCGACACCAAGTAGTTGGCATTAAGGCAAGGAAGAAGAAGAAGTCATATAATTTTTCATCATTGTGAAATACTAAATTGATAAAAATAATAACATTTTTGCTAATATATGATACAACTAATAATAAAATCTATTATGAAATGTAACCTTTAATATTGTAATAACAACGGTTTTTAAGCTAAGTGAATTAAGTGTATTGTTTAATTTTATATATACACACTAAAACAAACCAATTGACGTATTTAGCTATAACAATACGTAGATAAACTAAATAAGATCGTCAGATAAAAATGTTAAAATGTAAAATATTAAAAAAATATGTATTTTACTTCTAAACTATGATAAGTAAAATTCATAATAATACCAACATCTTTATTCAAAAAATCATATTTCTTGAGTATATATAATTTTATATAATTGTATATACAAATAAATAATAATAACATTGAAATTATTTTGAATCTAATCTTAGGAATTAAACGTTTCTAAATCATAAACAATTATAATTTTGTTAAACATTTCACACAAATTTTAGACGCAAAACCCTTTGGTAAATTTTGCAATAAGCCATAATCATATTGTGGTACATTTATGTTTTAGAAACTGCAATATTCATAATCAAGGGTACAATAATATCAAGGGTAAACAATATATACACTTATACATGGTCATTAAACAATAAATACTAATCAAATAATTTTTTTGGAACAGTAATTTATTATTTACATGCGGGTATTATTAATATTTAGAAATACTTGTACGATATAGTTTGTAGTCTTCTAATGAATTAAACGTAATAGCCATAACGAAGCTCAAGTAATGCATCACTAAAGAAGACTTATATATATTAAACATGTAATTTGATTACAGTGCAAAATGCTACCAATGCCGGTTATTAACCGCGTCCGTTAAAGACACTTAAAACGTTGTTGTTTTTGTCATATTAAGAAATATTATTTAAACTCTTATGTCATTACAATCTTTAAATAAGATGCTAAATGACTAATAGGCCTAGACAGTAAAACATATTTGGTGACTAACATTTGTAATGCCAAATGTACTTACTCTTTTGTGTTATGAATAACATATTGGTGTTGGATATTTGACCAGTCTCTTTTATGATAAACATTAAATGTTTTAGTGGTAAGTATAATTTACCATTTCTTAAATCAAATTAGATTAAATTGAAAAGCATCATTTTTCTATTTTGAATTTGGTGATTAAAATTTCTGACTAAGAAATATCCTTGTAATTACTGTGGTTTAATTGTTAATTTTTATAAACGGAAGTCTTGAAAAATGAAGGAAAGCATTTGTCTTTGGTTACTTTAATAGTACAGATGTTGGAGAATAACAACTTTCAAAAGTGTAATCGTACTTAATACTTGAGTTAAATAAAGTTACATTTGTAAAGGCATTTTGAATGTCTCATTAACGGAATTCCGGCCCTGAGAATAGGATTGTATTAGACAGTTATAAACTGACTTTATAACTCTAATAAAAACTATCAGACTTTGTATTAAACTGAGAATACATAATAAGTATTTATTCTTGATTTAGACAAATTACATTTCTAGCAAAGTAGTCTTGTATTTATTATCATAGCACAAAGTTATACTTTTTACTACTTAAAAAAGTGATAATATGTTCTCTCAAGCATCTAATCTAAATATACTTTTATTATCTTGTACATAATTTATAAAAATGTGCAACAGCACATTAATATAAGTCGTTTCATTAATTTTTTAATTTTGCTTTTTTGTAAAATTAAAACGTATATCATTGTAAATAATTAGTTCTCATAATTGATATCTTTTTAATTTAAATTTGTTCATTCTATCAAATTTGTTTATTGATTAAAGTCAGTTAATGTCTAAAAGTTTAACAAATGTTTTTTTTAGAATTATACTTTATATAAGTTTTACGATTCTAATATAAAATCTTTTAATTGTAAATTTTAAATACAACTACAATACATTATTGACATTTTTATTGTTGAAATTTATATGTTACAACTCATACCATATTTATATTAATCTATTTAAAAAAGTTACTGTGGTATTAAAAACAACGATCAATTTCAATAAATCGAAAACTATCACTCAACACATGATTTATATTTGATTTTCTTACAAAAAATAAATGGAAGATTCAATTTTGCAGTTTAATTGTCAGAACTATACCTTCTCAACGGATATAAATATAAATCGACTATACTAATTGTCTTCTTCAAATTCATGTTTTAAAAAAAATATTAAATATATTGTTTGAAAATTTAATCAACAATTTATTTTGCTTATTGTTTTTATTGTCTAATTGCGTATCAATATTAAAAACGTTAAAAACCTCTTTTGACAATCTAGCAGATTTCAAGCTGTGTGATGCCATTTTTTTTTAATGGAATTTCAAAGTGATATTCAAATATTACAATAAACCAAAATAATCTTCATTATATTCTAGACAGCGGGCATTATTCATTTCGAATGTAAAAAATCACAGCGTAAATTAATCCACGCAATTCAACACACGAAACAATTGGTTTTAATTATTCCACATTAAATCAAAATATTTTCGATGAATCTCTGACTCAATCCATTACCAACACTTGATTTGTTTAAGTCATTACTCGAATTAAAAATTTTTGTTTTCAAATATGTAATGTACTTTATAAATATCACGTTATGTTTTTTTTTTTAAATCAGAGAAAGTTCATTTCTAGATTCTTCGTTCAACCTCATATACTAGAAAAGCGCCGGCACACGATTGACTATATTGAACCGCGCTTCAACTGTCTCCACTTTCAGATTTAAATTACCATCTTTAGCGGAATAAAGGATTTCACAGTCTGCAAAAAGGTTTGTTTATTTAGGTGTTTATAAAATACTGAATAATAAACGAAAAAAATCTCATCTATATTTTAATTACATATTTTTTATAAATAAACTCATAATATTTTATACTCTTGTTTATTATTAAGTAAACAGTTTATTTTCTGTGGCAAAAAAATGAATATTTCCATATCGCGGGAATGCACAAAGTCATCGTTTATGAATATTAATAAGTGACACGTGGACGTGAAAAGATAAAAATATAAAAAAATTTTTCCCTAAAGCTTTTACATATTAATTATTATTGCTTTCCAAGTCTAGGTTAATCTTTATATGAACTGTTTAACTAAATGATTATACAATACTTAGGTGTATTTCAAAATGTTTCAGGGATTGATAAACTCTGTTATTACCACATTGTTGTAAATGATTAAAGGACACATTTTTTTAATAATTTAAATTATGGTTTTATAAAATTACATTAATTTCATTCCAATAGATTATAATGGACAAATTTAATTTAATATATGTTCAATGTAACGGATACATTTTTTCGTTTTATAAAGAAATTGAATTGACATACTTGAATATATTGTCTGTATATTATGAAATGGGTATCAATTTAAGGACATTATAATAAAATTATGCACATAAATAACTAGCGTTCTGTTAAATTTAACGCAAAATAGATATCATTAGGTCCTTTAATTGGCAACTATGCACAATTATCAAAACTACATAACTATCAATTTAGTATTTACATACATTTAAATATCTAAATTTTACTAATTATCAAGTTTTACTGGTTCTTCTTGGTTAAACTATTAAAAATATTGTCACCCTGATTTGATTACGACAAAAACTTGACTTTTTTGAAAAAAATACAATAGCAATAACACTTAACTTAATAATTTTAAAATTAAAAACTTTTGAGTTACTTAATTCTTACTATTAAATCAGGTATAAAATAA